TGGTCCAAGGAGAGAGGATGACGTGGGACAAAGGAGAGGAGTCACAAAAAGCTGGTGAGAGCTGACCAGCGGGGTGGAGCAGTTGCCCCAGAAGAGCCCTGGAGCCGGGGAGCCACAGGAGGTGGCTCAGTTCCGGCTGTTCAGTGCACAAGCGGTGGACGGCAGATCCTCTGCTGGGACCTAAGCCCCAGTAGGGAGGATGGGAGCTCAGTGCCCAGGCAGTGTGTGGCAGAAGCCCAGTACCCCGAGTCGCAGGCAGTGGCCCAGGTATTTGACCTCCAGCAGGGAGGCTGGGAGCAGGGGTGGTGCCTAGTGGATCCCCGAGGGCCCAAAGTCCTGAGCTGCAGGTAGCAGCTCGGATTATCTGACCACCCAGCATGAGGCTGTGCAGCTCAGTGTGCAGACAGCATGTGGAGGATCCCCAAGGGACTAGAGTCTGGAGCCAGTCCAGGCATTGATAGCTCAGTAGAGTTCTTGTTCCCCACATGGGAGACCCACGTTCAATCCCAGGCCAAGGCACTAGAGGAGTGAGTTGCTAGGAAGAGGGAATCCCTGCAGGGTAGGAGGGTTCCTTGTTTTGTGAAACCCTGCGCCTCAGGCTTTGTTGTTGATTTGCCTCTGCTAGATGTATATGTGTATCTTACCTTTCTTGAATCCCCTCTTCTCTCCTAAACCCATTGCCACCCCCCCCAAATGTGTCATACCTTAACCTGGTTCTTTTCCTATTAAACCCGTATATGGTTAAGTTCCAACTGGTCTCAGCTCTATTCTATAGGGGATAGGAGGGGAGCAGCTACCCCTCCCACAGCGCACTAGCACTTGCTAAATCCCTTCAATTGGAGAGGGGGTACCTTGTCTGAGTACCAGCTGGGTTACAAATGATTTCAGTTTTGGTTCTGTTTGAGCATACAGGACAAATTATGTACATTTAATATAATCTAAGTAGGGGTCATTGTGTGATCCTTGTTTAATGTTAAATATCATTCTTGTTCACCATCTCCTTGCTTATCCTGGAGGCTGATATGAATACAGCCTGATGGGTGGGTTGGATGTACAATGGATAATGTTGGCACAACCAAATTAATGATTTTCTAGCAATCGTTCTTGTTTCAGCATTTTTCTTTGGCCAAGTTACGATTGCCACTGGCTGCAGAGTTGCAGCTGAGTAAAATGAAAGACGACATTTTTACTGAACCAGAAATTACACATCTACCCAGAACCTCTTGTTCTGGGTAGTTCAGCTCTATAATGGCATATTATCCAGGAGAAAAAACATTTCATGCAACCATTGTACAATTCAAACTTACTTTTGAACATATTATTTAAGAGTAATGTGTTACATACTGTAAAATCTATGCTTGTGTAACCTGGGCAGTACTCCAAGAGGTACCCCCTCTCCAACTGAAGGAATCAAAGCAGGTGCACAAGCGCTGTGGGAGGTGTAGGGACTCTCCTCCCCCTATACAGCAGAGCCAGACCACCAATGGGGACTTAACCATATACTTTTTAATACTGGGACTATAACAGGCATAAATCAGGAGGTATAGTGGACACTACAATGCCCCAAGGGGGCAGGATTCAACAAAGGTGAGACACTTACAATCATTGACAAAAGACAGGGTTAACAAAATATAAAATACAAACAACTGAACAAACAATACAGGTTGGTGAAATATAAAAAGGCACAAAATGCAAAATGTCAAATGAGACAGAAATATGGGGCCTTGGTACCGTACCTGGAGGGGGAGAAAGGGGGGGAACACAGTGGCCCCTTTCCACTGCAAGAAGATTTGCTTCTTGTTATCTTACTCACCCCCAAGTCACCTCAGTTGGGACTTGAACCTGGATCTCCCACATGGTAGGCAGAAACACTGCCACAAAGCCACCACTGCTTCAGCCTGCTGGGGGTCTTGACCTTCACAGAGCCCGGGCCTCACATTGAGCTGCCTGACCTCTGATTGGAGGAGCTGGACACAGAGCTGGGAACCCCTCAGGTCGCTGCTCAGATCCTTCCTGGAGCGGGGGAGCCTCTCCTGCTGGCTGCAGCTTCTCCTTGGGGATCCTGGAGCCCAGCAGGGGGCCTCTCCTACCAGCTGCATGCTGCACTGCTGAGGGTCCCACTGCTGCCTGCAGGTCCTGCTCTTTCAGACTCTTCTGGGGCAACTGCTCCTGGCTCAGCTTTGTGAAGCCCTTTCCTTGTTGTCCCTCACTGGTTTCTCCCTTGAGACAGCCCATGCTGCCCCATTTATCCCCCTCCAGGTGACCCAAGGGGCCAATCGGGACACAGGGGAGTGGTTCTCTGGGGCCTGATTGGTGTGGAAAAGGAATCCCAAGTCCTCCAATCATCTCTTACCCCTTCAAAACCCCTGGGCCAAATCATTACCAGATTGGTGAGGAAAGGGAATCCCAAGTCCTCCAATCATCTTTTGCCCTTTCAAAACCCCTGGGCAAAGTCACTAGCCCATCACACTTGTATTTAGTTGCATGTGGTAAACACACATTTTTGGTTACATGTTTCTTACCTCTAAAATAAACTGTTCCAAGAACAATTCATCTGCTGGTTGTGCTTAGTTTTATATAGAGTAAAATAATTATTCTTTCCTATCCTTCCATTAGCATTTCTTTGCATAATGGAATTGATTTCCCACTGAATATTCATTTCATGTTTAGTTGGTTATTTATATTCAAATATTGCTTTTCTTCAACAGCACATAGGGCCCATTCCTGCTCCCATTAAAGTTAATGGAAAACTCTTATTGATTCTGTCTAAGTTCTTGTATTACACTTATTACCATCTTATCATAGTATCTTCAGTACGAACAGGTTGAAGCCCTTGGGGCCCGCTCCTGCTACAGACTGAGCATCTCCTTGAAGGTATTCAAGTTAAAGGTGCTCAGCACCTCTTTGGTGCAGGCAATTAATCTGGGGCAGGTGAAAAGAAGGCTGATAGCCTCTGTAGATGGTAGGTAAAACAGAAAGGAATTTCTATGCATACTGTGTTTTCTCATTGTAGGAAGGCTGTCTCTATAACTGCAAAAAAGCTTTAGATTTTCAAGGAGATGGGGTTGTGGGATATGATCCTTTCTTTTCTTTAGCTTGAAACCACGAGAAATCATGGATGAGTCCAATAACTTCATCCAGCTACTTTAGGATTGTGTAGGTGTTAGCAATAAAAATTTAGGATTCCGGATTAGCCCAGGGATTGGCGCAACACCGCGTTCGATGAGTGACAGAAAGGCTTTATTTACTACAAGTATTTAAAATCAAGTCAAGTGAGCCCAAACTAAATCAAAGTCCAGTAATTAGCTATAAGGTGATGATTTCTCACCAAACAGGCGACAAAGAGGTGGTCTGTTTCTCTTCAATTTCTCTAGTAAGTTGGGTGCATCAGCAACTAGTGTTAGAGAGATTTCTCACTCTTGAAGCACGCATGCAGTTCGCTGTTTTACTGACTTCTTATACCCTTAGTTTAGCATCTTTAAAGCATTCTTTTAGTTGTGTAAATCAAGACAGTCCCAAGCAGTAATTGACAGGAAAAACCTGCTTATTACTGGTTATCAGAAATTTATAATTTGAATGAGTTACCTTCTTCGGTAACAAGAGGTTATCCAGTTTGAAACATATCAAGAAACTGATTAACAGCCAGGAAAAACATACTAAATCAGGACGAAACATCTATTATATATGGAGAACGTCTCTTCCTGCACATAAACACGAGTTAGTCGCAAACTGGTAATTTACCTTACTAATTAATCAAGGATAGACATTTCATATGGTTACACACTGCTTGAAATCATTCTGAATATAGCAAGCTGGAAGAGATGCTATATTATTCCTTCTTAGATGGCCTAGCCATGAACTCGCATCCTTTTGCAATATGCAGTTAGCATTATTATTCTGTATTTTAACTTTTGTGAGTAGGCCCAAGCTTAGCATGAGTTTCAGAGTCATCAGTAGGTCAGGGGTCAACAACCCCTGGCACACCTGCCGAGCATGGCACGCAAGGCCGTTTTGCTCGGCACACCACTGCCATCCCGGGCTCTAAGCTACTGCTGCCAGCCACAGAGACCGGGCTGTTCCCAGCAGGCAGCTGGGAGGCTATAAGCCCTGCTGCAAGCAGACCAGGCTCCGTGGGCCAGCTGCAACTGGGAGGCTGCACACAGCTGCTCCGGGCTCTGGCATGTCAGCACTCCAGCAACTTCCAAGGTAGACACTGTGGTTTTTTCAGTGTTTCGGCCAAGAAACGTTGCCTACCCCTGGTGTAGGTGTTTGCTAAGCCCCTTTTGTCTGGCGGTACAGAGACGTTGTTATGAATGAGAAGAATCATAGCTAGGATTCTGCCGTTTTGGGGTCAATCTTTGAGGCTTTTTTATCTTTTTTAAAGTAGCCGCATATTAAGTGTATGCCTGAACTCCAAGCAGAAGGTATCTCTGTAGCCATTGCCTGTTCATCTCACAGATTCACAGATGTTTAGGGCTGGAAGGGACCTCATTTCTCTCTCCTTTTGAACAGTGGCTCCTGAAGAGAATGCAAAGGGTCTGGAAGCTCACTCTTCCTGCTCGCTGTAGCCAATGCAAAACAGTTCAGTTTTGAGGCAGTGGAGCATTGAGGACTTATGATACACAAATACTGAGAAAGCATTACACAATGGTAGATCTCCATTCTCTGGGGAAGTGTGCTTTCTCTTATCCCTAGCTTTACTGCATCCTGAGGTTTGATCCTTTTGTTTTTTTAATCTTACAGTTTGTTAGATGACAGAGTACTTGAAGTTCTCCATAATGTCCGGGCCATTTGACATTAGTAGATCTTTAAAAAGTATTTCATGTTTGCTGTCATGTTTGCCACCAGAGTTTCTGTAGGTGTCATAACATAACACACTATTAAGAGTTTGTGTTAGTGCTAGGTGTATTCAAGCTATGCAGTCTAATAAATTGTCTGTGCCTCCCACCTTGCTGACACATTACATCAGCAATAATGCCTTATCTCTGCCACTCTTCTAGTTTGGATCCCTGCTCCTATCACTTTAAGATAACTAACCGTGGGAGAAGAACCCATCAGCTCTACTGGACAACGGAAGGCTTCCCTCCATTTCGTCAGCATAACCATGCTGTCAATAATACCAAAGGCAAAAACTCCCCCCAGAGTCCAGAGTCTCCTTCTCCTGTGTTTAAGCTTCAGCCATTAAGGATGGAACTAACACCAGGCAAGAGTATGGACATGATTTTGGAAGGCGTCTCCAATACCCCTAAGGTAAAGTACTGTATGAATGGTGCATTGTTTCAATTAGATCACTGATACAGGTATCTCTTAGGCTGCTCCCTTACCATTTATTTGACAAAATAATCAGTTTCTTTCAAGAATTGCTTTAATGCCACAAGTTACCATGGTAGCACCAGTTGCTCTTCTTGCTTGAGCATTATTAGTTGCTAAGTCTTGTCTTGTTACTATAGCTACCAAAAAATCCAAGTTTCAGACACCAGCTAGGGAAAGCTTTGACTTCTGAGGCAAGCAACAGGTTGCAGGGAGTTGTTTGCTGAACGAGACTGCAGTTCTAATATAGGCTGCTTAGAGACTGAATTTTGGGTCAAAAGGAAATAGAAAAATGCCGACTAATATATTTGGAAAAGCAAGGAATAATCCAGAGCACACAGGCCATGGGAACAAGTAATCAGAAATCCAGTCATTTGTTATCATTTTATAAATAAAATACCCATCTAGAGTCTTGCATGGACACTGTTGAAAAAAATGAAAACAGACCAATAGAGCTAAAGATCACAACGTGACATTCTGCACCCAAAGGACACTGGTAGTTCATTTCTCACTTATTTCCCATCCCATATGCCCCAGCCCTTCAGTCAGCCTCTATATCCTGGGAACAGCCTGGGAATTCAGGTAGGTCTCGTAACATGTAGTGTGCCTTTGGACTGAGTCCTATTCCCTTTTGCCCCTTTGCTCCCAGTGGAGGTACTTCTGCAGGGCTCCAATTCTGCAGGCACAGAGGGAGTAGAGGGTAATTGCCACCCTTAGTTCCCCATCTGCAACTGACAGACATAGATATTTAGATTATGTATTAGAAATCTGCATTGTTTTGTATTATCCCTGATGTCCGAGGTTTGGAAACCCCTGAAATAGTTTTGAGGAACAACAGTTAGTTGAAGCTCTGGAAAGAAGTCTTCTGTTCTACACTGGGTAGACCATGTGAAAAGAATGGGTAGCAGCTATGAAGACAGAGGGATAACCACATGGCTGTTCCTTCCCACAGCTGATCCCCAACAGTCTTTGATTTTAGTGGGGCAGGAATCATGTCCTGCTCTGTAATGCTCAAATCCAGCCTTCCAACCCTAGAAGGTTCAGTGTCTGTGCTTTCTAGATGGGCTATTTCCATGTGAAAGAAACTTTGACCTGTATTTCTCCATTGGGGCTGCTTCTAGTTAAGTTACTAGAAAGGCATTAACTGTTGGAGTGGGCCTAACACATGGAAGCAAAAAGTGATCAAAAGGCTGGAGGGAACAGCTCACAAAGGGAAGCTGAAATGGGCTCTGTCTGCACAGCTTGGTTGCATGACACCTAAATGGGACAAAACACAAAACAAATATGTGGACTATGTAAAGACAGAACATTAATTTTTGTTACTGTAGTACCACTGGAAGCAACTAGGAGCAATGGGATGGAAGAGGGGAGAACAACATTTATGGTGACAGAAAAATATCCTGACATAAGAACTGTGCAGTAGGCTCCCAAGCCAAGTGATACAATTCCCTTTCCTTGGGGCATTAAAACTTTATCAGGCAAAACATAATTAGGCAAGTAAACAAGAGGAGCCTTATTCATTTATTTTATTTATGTACCTATTTAATTTATATGCCATCTTTTTTTCTAATCTTTTCTGCCTGTTAATTTCTGTGATATTTTTGACTGAGGTTTTACTGGCATCAGGATTTTTTAAACACCTATTTTCTTTACTACAGCATCTCTTAAAAATGGCTCCCTACAATTTGATTTAAATGCTATGTTAGCAAGGGGGCATATCATAAAGATTTTCACATGAGCAAGTAATTGTTGTCAACAACACATAACTGGCAAGTGCCATTTGTACTTGCAGAATATATGATATTATAGAAATGCTGCTTTTGAATAAACAGAACACAGTATAATGGTATAAAGAAACAAGGGGATTTTATAGATAAATGCTTATTTTTTCTACCTATAGTACATAGCACCCAGGGATTATCAAGACAGGTGACAGAGTTACATTCATGAAATAAAATGAATTTGTATCAGTGGCCAGTGAAAGCAGTATGGATCTGTTTGCATGATACTGATGATGGGCTATGACACTTTCACGTACAGGTAGTAAAGGAACGGTTGATATGCCATGCCATTATAGGGAAGCAGTCTGGAAAGGAGCGGATAATGACAGTGGATGTCACATGTGAATTCATTGCACCTGTTCTGCACCTCTCCTCCAAAGAAATCACTTTTCGAGTAGAGAAGGTAAGCCCTTTGCCAGCCATTCAATAGATAGCCAGCCAGCTGCATATTTAAATGGTTACGATACATGTGCCTATTTATTCGTGTGTGTGTGTGTGTGTGTACACATATGTATGTATGTGAAGACTCCAATGATGGTAGCTAGATAAACAGAATTCACTCCATTACACACTTACTAAAACTGAGTCAGAGTACTTAAGTGATTGACTCAAGGCCACATGGGAAGTAATAGAGGATGTATAATCATATGGTACGTAATAAATATTTTGTCAGCTTTAGTGTGCAGCAGTCACTTTTCCTGCAGGGATGAAGCCATAAGCAGATCATCCTGAATGAGTACTAATAAAACTATTGTACAATCCCATTGTGAGAGCTCTCTGTAACTATCTTAGAAAAGCTTTAGGGACTTTTTAAATGCTGCTGGGACTCTTTTTGTTTTCTTTCAATTATAAAGCTGGTTGCTGTAGTTGCGTGAGCCTGTCTGTACAAACTCATGACTACTAGGCCTGTGTGAAGCAGCTAGTATTCGCTTCAGGTTCAGATTCGGCCGATTCAGGGGACAGTGATTTGATTTGGTCATTCGAATCATTGTCTCAATTTGATTCAGCTGAATCTGATTCAGAGATTTGGCTACTGCCAAATCACTGAATCATCCAGGCCAGGCCCATCCCCTGCCCTTCTCCCAGCCCAGCAGTGGCTGCCCCAGCTCCCAGCACTTGTTAAAAAAAAAAGCCCCGACTCAGTGGGTGCTGCTGGGCAAGGGACGCTCGACTGCCCTACGCTGCATGGGGGGCTCTTCATGAGTCCCCTGACCCTTCTCCTCGCTCTCGCAGCCCCCCTATGGGTGCCCTGCCCTGACCAGCTCCAGCCCTTTAAGGAAACAAAAAACCCCCAAAAACCCTTGACTCACTGCTCTTGCCAGTGGGGGTGGTCCGCACTGCCCCACACTGCCCTGTGCCACATGGGGGGCTCTGCACGAGTCCCCAAAGCCCCAAAGCCACAGCAGGAGTGCTGAGTCCCCAGGGCTTTTCTTGGTTTTTTTTTTCTTAAAGGGCCAGAACTGGCCCAGGCAAGGCACCCATGTGGGGGCTGGAGGAATGGGGGGGGCCGTGGAGGTTCCTGCAGAGTGGGGTAGGGGTCCCCCCATTGGTCCTATCCCCCGGCCCCTCCTTCCCCACCCCTAGTACTTACCAGCTGGGAGTCGGGGGACTGCCCAAATCATCAGAGCTCTCCAAATCTTTTCCAAAGATTTGAAGAGCTTTGAATCAATTCAGACCTTTAAATTGGTCCCCTGATTCAATTTGGATTCAGAGATTTGGCCACCAAATTGGGCTGAATCTCCTCCAAATTAAATCACCACCCGAAGCTTTGCACAGCCCTAATGTACCTCTAGAACATACCTGTCCTATGTCTAAAGTTATCATGTCATTAAAGTTCCTTATACCAGCCCCTTGCAACACAAGGACAAAGTTCTAGTCCTTGTCCTTCAGTGGAGCTACAGCAAGCTAAGAATTTGCCCCTGGAGAATCATGCTGACAAAAGAAAATGCTTCCCCTTTGCTTTCCACACCGGCATTTTTGCTAGAGAGTTAACAAATCTTTGTTCTTGCACTTGCAGTTTCTCCCTTGGTTCTGGGGAACTGAAAACATTCCCAAGCAGCAGTTGTGGCAGGAAATTGAACTCATACACACAGCAGTTCACTCCCACTCATCCCTAGATCCAGGTTCCTACATCTTCTTTCCCTATCCTGCAAGGGTCTGGAGATGGGAAACAATTTACTTGCCCCATGTCTACATGTTCAGTTTGATTCCCTAATTCCCTGGTGCCTGTATTGTTGCAGAACTGTAGCTCTGTTCTGTCATGTGTACAAGCAAGTTGTTAGGACTGTATGGTCAGATGGAATTAGGAACCTCCTGGTTATCCCTGCTGTCTCCCTGCATTCTGTTTGATGCCATGTTCTCTGGTTTATTGAGTGTAATGACACTAGAGTGGTTAGAGATAAATACGTTTAGAAGCTGTTTCCCAAACACAGTCTACTTTTATATACACCCTTCAGAACTCTCGTAGAAACTCCAAATTTGAGTGACAACTAGTAGGCTAAAATGGGGACCAGCAGACAATTTATCATTATAGCAAAGGGGCCTGACCTGTGCAGGATCATAGCCAACTGTGCATGCAAGGCACATTTTAAAGCTAATACCAAGCGAACAAAATCTCTCCATTACAGGCTAAGTCTTGTTCACCTTACTCATGCAAGTAGCTCCATTAACTTTAATGGGAACAGTCAGCTCAGAAAGGTTGGCAGGTTTTACTCTATGAATAAAACCCCCCTTTGTCTCTTAAAAGAAAGATGCATTTCTATTGGTTAAAACAGGGCTGCTTGCCAGCCATGTGCAATCTGTGAGGGGTTAATCTGTGACCCCCGGGCTCCTATCCAGCTGTCTTTCCTCCTGTCATCAACAGCAGCAGACAGGCTGTCTGGGCTTCCCTTTCACAGCCTCTGTTTCCTGCACCTGGCTCAGGAGGTATGTAGTGTGGCACAATGCAACCTGCAGTGCTGGAAGAGCCTGTGGCACAATGCAATGGGGAAGACCACAGCTGGTGAGCTCAGGGGTGGAGTTCCCCACTTAATGCAGCAGTGAGGGGCCTGCAAATGTGTGCAGTGAGGCAGTTGAGGATGTTGCCTATTCACACTGTGTAGGGTTGTACATGCAGTGGCAACCTGGGTGCCTTTGGCTCTCACTGTTGTGGCCTGTACAGTATGTGGCCCCCAGCCACTTAGAAGTTAGACTGCCCTGCGTTATAGGTCTGGATTGCCTTTCCTCTTCTGCCAGTTCATTTCCCATGTGGTCTTGGTTAAGTTACTTCAGATCTTTGTGCTTTTGTTTTCTCATCTGTGAAATGGGGATAATAATCCTTTCTGATGAATGAGATTGTTTCCTGGTTTGTAACACAAGTGTATTTGAGATCCTGAGGCGAACGGTGTAAAGGGTACACTAACGGTAGATAGGGCTTGGCTGACAGTTTTCAAGTTTTGACATTTTTCTGTAAAAAAATTTTAAATGTATCCAAAAAAGGAAAGGAAATGACAAAATGGTCATAAAAAAAACTGCTCCCTTGATTTTTGCCCAATGATATGGCTGGGCAGAATACTTTGAAAGTTGCTGGTATTTCAAATTACAACATACTGAAAGCCAGGGTGGGGAAGGGGACGACTACCTTTCTTTCTTCCTTCTGCATTTTTGGAAATGCAAAACTATGCTCTGCTTTGTTTGAAAAATGTGCTTTCCTTTCCTAACATTGCCACCATTGTCACATCCATCAAAAGCTTTTGTGGAACACTTGATTTTGCTAATACCATGATGCTGCTGTGTTTCAGTGAAAAAGCAAAAGTACTCTTACACGATTTTGTCTCAGCTGCTATCCTGCAGCACAGTTGTCCTAGTGGGCATTCACTTTTCACTTTTCTTTGGATTTCTTTTTATTTTCCTTTCTTACTCAGCTTTTCATTTTTGCAGCACCCCAGTGATGTTCTGACTCCACAGTTTGAACCTCTGATCTTAAAGAACATTTCCTCTCTGCCACTCAATGCCCTTTTGTCTGTACGAGAACCCTTTTTCCTCTGTGATATGGGCCATCAAATGCTGCCTGCAGAGGCGCAGGTAAGTAGGCAGTAGGTTTTGTGCAAGGCCCCTTCACACTTTTCATTGTGTCTGAGTGGTCAACACCCATATGCAGGTTTCTCAGATGGTGGCTCACCAATATATTGGGCTGTGTTAAATCTGTATGTATAGCAATCTATTGAATTAAATGAAAATGAAGAGCATTCCCTCTGGCACCTTTCTGATAGTGGTACTTTCTGAAAGGGAAGAAGTGCCTGACTCACACTCATTATTAAGATGCTGCAAGCACTGAGACAAATTCTGCTCTTAGCTTCATTTCTGTAACAAGAAGAAACTCCACTACTGTCAGTGGAGTGACAGTGCAGTGGGAAATAAACAGCGTAGGTAAAATCAGAATCGGGTCCACTGTCTCATCACCCTGACCTTGGTCTCGCATAAAATCTCTACATCATTTCCCTGGAACAAAATTTTCATTCAGTTAGGAATGAACCTGAAGTGTTGGCATCTCTAAGACGTGAAGTTTTGCAGAACTAATCTGAATGCATGAATTTATTTCTTGCAATTAAATCCACATCTCCCCCCACACTCAAAAGACAGTTCTGTTACAAAATCAGACGTGAAGGGGAGTATATTAGTGATAGAGGAACTACCCCGTAGGACCTTGGACTTTACAGTTACCACTTTGTTGCAAAGAATAGCCATTTGTAATATAAGAGTGAGCACAGGAATGTAGTCACTCCTATCTTTCTGCTCCAGAAACACAGATCCTTATGTGTGAGGTACTGGAGATGTTCCATTAGTTAATAACTATGCAAGACTTAATGACACATAGTGGAGCCATTGTGATTATACACAGTGGAGAGGAATAATAACAAATATACTATAGCCAGTTTACAATATGCTGTCTGGATTTTTTTTGTTCCCTCTTCACCTCTTTATTTCAGTCTAAAGCTACATAGACCACAGATATAGTAACATTTTGGGTAATCATATTTTTGAGCCCATAACATTTGGGGCATTCAAAACTACTTTCTCCATCCCTGCTGTACTGATTCAGTGTAGGGAAAAGTGTGTATGACTCAAAGGTGATGTGAGACACAAGCAGTTTGGTGCTAATCAGAGAAGCACTTAAACATAGATGGCCGATCTGAGATACTTTTGTTTCATGATTTCATCACACTAAGCACTAAACATTATTGCAACAATGACTAGTCTTTGTGTCCCAATGCAGCCCATGAAGCTGGTGACTGGTGAGGAACAGCATCTTTCCATCAGGTTTGATCCTGCCTACAAAGATGATCGGAACAGCCGGGTAGCAGAGGAGGTCTTGTTTATTAAATTCCTGGAGCATCCTCATGAGGAGCAGGTCAGCCTTCGAGGAGAAGTACACTTCCCAAATCTCCATTTCCAGACCATAGACTTGGATTTTGGCTGTATCTTGAATGACACTGAAGTCATGCGTTACATTGAAATGACCAATTACAGCCCACTTCTTGTCAAGTATCGCTGGTCCTTCCTGACAGATGACCATGGGAACCAGATAAGGTACTTTCACCATTGGCCTTGGAGCTCACCTCCCTCTTATTTTGAAGTTTGTTCCTTTGTGCTGACGAAGGCTGTTTTTGTGGAGCTTGACAAATAGATTTACACCCTCTCTGTTTGGAAATAGCTCCCCACTTATTCTACTTTGACAGTGTGGGTATTTGAATGGGCAGACGGGGTTACCTTCACTGCCATGGAAGCCAGATGAGGTGCATTAGGAAGGCAATATCCATCCTATCAAAGTAGGGCCAGGACAGGAGTTTTCAGCCCAACACATTGCAACAGGTACTTTAACCTGTGGCCTGGAATTGCAGCTGCAACCATTTCATACTAGCTGTCCTGATACTAATGGTGCAGAGGTCCAATTTTACAGCTGCTCCTCACTCAACTCCCAGGTACTGAGGATGTAAGCATTCCACACATCACATCTGAACAGTTATTAGGCAAAATCTAATGAAATGGTGAGTTCTCTTGCAGATTTAGCCTGAGGTGTTAATGGTCCTTATAGTGAGTAGTGTCAGTTCATTCATACTAAAGGGATCAGAGCTTATGTGGGTCTTGAAACCCAAAGAACATGAATGGGTACAATCTGGTAGCATAGTATTTGGAGCACATCCATAAAACAGCAGTTCTTTGTAGCTGGTTCTGTTGCATAATACAAAAGTAAAGTTTGGGCAGTTGTTCTAATTACAGTAGCAAATGGTTTTTTCCATAATGCCCCAGGAAATCTAACAGACTTAACTACTGTGTATTGATGCACTGCCTGTCTAAATAACGCAGGCCATCAATAAACAATTTCATTTAGGCAACTGGGATCTGGCCCAGAGGAGAGCCCTATTGGGAACTGGAGGGGAGCAGACAAGGATACTTGGACAGTTTGGAAAGAAAACTCAAGCACTAGAGTAACTCGTTAAGGACTGGTTCTGCAAAGCATCTGTTTGGAGGGGCTTAACACCATTCACTTCTGTGAAAGTTCATAGGAGTTAGAGGCACTTAGCACCTTGCCGAGTGAGGCCTTAAAGGATCTGAGAATGTGCAGAGACAGAAGGCCAGCTAGCAAGGTGGAGTGGGGAGAGGGACAGCTGGGCCATAATATCACTGCTTGGAGACTCCAGTCAGCTCCTGGTAAATTAGATTAGGGTTTAATTACAAGCTAAAGAAAGGATCCAATTTTGATTATAGAACAATGGTTATATTTTATAATAACAGAGAAACAAGCATATTACAGTGAAGCCTGCATGGAATTAATTTTCTCTGGGACTAGTCCCTGGCTGGATGCCAATTTATTATTCTTATGATTTTTTACGTCTCTTAAAATTTTATGGACACTTAAACACCGAATCAGTTTTTATATTTCAGTTATCTTATTTCCATTTAAATTGGCTATATTGGGTCTGAATCTACTAGTGCCTATACCCTAGTGCATTCAGATCTCATTGATGCTCATGTTAATGGGGGATCCTGGGTACCTAACAGAATAGGACCCTTTGCTTCAAAGGGCTCTGGCATTTTCCCTTTTCTTGTTTGTTAGTGTTATGGACATTACGACAGTTCTCTCTTCTGTTGTGCATGTTAATTAAGAAGTAATGTACTCTCTATGGGTCCCTCAGCAGACACCACATGATTCTCTATGGCAGAGCTGGGAAATGAAGCCAGTCTCCAAGCTATTAACACCTCAAATTATTCATTAAGTGGCCAGTATGAGAGCAGCATGTCAGATAATATTTTTGGTCTGCATTTAACACTATTGTACCTTGTAAATAATCAGGTGAAACTAACTCAACCTGACATTGCGGCAGTTTAACATCAGGTTCTTGGAAGTGAGATTGATTGTAGTTTAACCATCCATCCATCCATCTACATGCCTGCTGCTCATCATCACAGAATCTCAATGTCATCCAGATTAACATACTCATTATGGCTGGGAAAGAAGACCACACCCAGATTTTTCTTCTATTCATTTGTTTCTTCCCATTTATTTTTCTTCTGTTTCCGTCTCATCACTTGCCTCTCTGTTGCTACTCTGGACAGAACCACAGATAAGCAGCACACTCCAGATCATTCCCATGTGATTAGCTAGTTTATATCTCCTCCTCCATCTTTGCTAGTTCATCTATCTCTCTGTTACAAAGTCTAGCTCCTCTTGTTCTGTACATGTATACAGGGGTGTGCGAAGTGGGCCCTATTCGATTCAGATTCAGCCCAAATCAGGGTCACTGATTTGATTTGTTGATTCGGATCACTGTCCCTGATTCAATTCAGCCGAATCTGAATCTGAAGATTCAATGCTGATTCAGAGAATTAGCGATTTGGACATAAACACAGGTTTAAATGTTTTTTCTACAAACTTCGAGGTACCAGCATGGCTTGTGATCGCTGTAATGCTGGAGTGCATGGAACTTCCCACAGGAGTGCGGGGGACCCTCCACGTGCTCAGTGGCAAACCCGGAAGTGGACTGGAAGTATTTCCGGGTCTGCCAGGGAGTGCGCTGGGGGGCCTCCCCACACATTCCTGGCTCGGCGATTGGCCATGGGGGGACCTCCGCGTGCCCCCCCAGACCCAGGAGACACCAGTTGCTGAGCTGGGGGAGTACAGGGGAGCCCTTCAGCGTGCTCCCCAGTGGACCTGGAAGTGAGCTGGAAGTGCTTCTGATCCACTTCTGAGTCTGCTGCCAAGCGCACTGGGGAGCCCCTGTGCTTCTGTAGGACACTCCATGTGCCCCAGCATCGCAGCATTCACAAACTGCCTGCTACCTAGAGGTATGTAGAAAAAACATTTAACGCTGTGTCTATGTCCAAATCACTGAATCTTTCCGAATCTCTCCGAATTGATTTGGAGAGTTCTGATTAGACTCGGAGAGATTGAAGGGTCCTCTGATTCAATTCAGATTCAGAAATTCAGCCACCAAATCGGGTCAGATCTCCACTGAATCAAGTCAAGGACCGAAGCTTCGCACAGCCCTACCTGTATACTTGTAGATGGGCCTGAAGCAAAACCCCTTAAACTTTGTGCTAGTTTAGCTTGAGGCCCAGGCATTGCAGTAACCCACATCGTATATTGAAATGAACCTCAGAAGCATGCACCACTGAACTTTATAGGACAGTGGATTTACATCCAAATGCAAACTTGTGTCATATTTTTTCTTCTAAAGCATGTCATACCCTTTTCTTGGCTGTGTACAGGTAATTGGTTTTCTGGTTTGCTTGTCCATACTTCCAGAGAAAGATGACAAACACCCAACCTACCCATAAGTGTTTGGAATCTTTTATCTATTTTAGAAATAAAATTAAAAAATTGAAAATGATTTTCTTCTAAACAACTGGCTATGGACACCTATACACATGCCAGACGTCTGCTCCAACACCTGCTAATTAGCACGTGTCAGAGCAGACCCAATTAACTGAGTCTGCTGGAGTGTGCTAATTAACATGCTCCAGCAGCTTCCACATCAGGTCTGTTCAGTATCCCTGCACTTCAAATGGCAGTGGAGGCACTTGAACTAAAGTTCATTGAATGAGCTTTAGTTCAAGTGTCCCCGCCACCATTTTGAAGCGCAAGACGCTGAATACATGAGACATTGTGGGCAGTTTAATTAAAACTGCTCTCGGAGCCGCTCTAATTAAATTGCCCCTCCCCCCAGACCCCTAGCACATGTATAGGTGCCTGCTATGTCTGCAACTAGACGATAACTGAAAGGGCAAGCCATGGCCTCAACCTTCTTCTGATCACAGCTGTTCTGTTCCTCAGATTTATTCTTGCTCCAGTCCTTTTGTCCTTGTCTCCAATTCCTTCTTGCCTGAGTAAGAGAGAAATTCAATGTTTTCTACACTGGGGTCAGAGCAAAGAGGAGTCACCTAGTCTATGTTACAGCAGAATGGGTCTGTATCTCCATGCACAAGGCTAACCCTGTCACAATACTGCAAATAAAATTTATGTACTTTGCTCACCTGATGTTCTCGAGAATATGAACCCATTAAATAGAGGTTATTCTTACTGGAAGTACCTGTGGGCCTGATCCAATATTCACTTCAGTTCTGGGTTTGCTGTGTTAAACACACAGAGTTGAACAATGCCAGTCTTCCCTTTCTGCCTGGGATTTTTATTTTAACAGACTGACTTTTTCTCTCCCTGTTTTGGGGGTGGGTTGTTCTTGTGACAGTAACCATTTCTAGTAGCTCCCCTTTCTATTCCCATATGCATCCTGGTATGTTGCCTTATATGGACCCTGCAAGCCAGATTTCAACAGTGTTTCTGGTAGGGCTGTGCAAAGCTTCAGTCCCTGATTCAATTCTGCAGGGAATCAGCCCGATTCGGTGGCCAAATCTCCAAATCGAATCAGAGGACCCTTTAATCTTTCCAAATCAAATTGGAATCTTCTAAATTGATTTGGAGAGATTTGGAAAGATTCAGAGATTTGGACATAGACATGGCTTTAAATGTTTTTTCTACATATCTCTAGGTAGTAGGTGGCTTGTGAATGCTGCAATGCTGGGGTGCATGGAGTGTCCCACAGGAGCATGGGGGGCTCCTCCAGCGTGCTGCCCAGCAGACCTGAAGTGGACCAGAAGTACTTCTGGTCCACTTCCAGGTTCACCACCGAGCACATGGAGGGCCCCCTGCACTCCTGTGGGATGCTCCACACGCCTCAGCATCGCAGCATTCACGAGCTGCGCCTGGTACATCAAGGTATGTAGAAAAAGCTTTTAAAGCTGTGTCTGAATCGCTGATTCTCTGAATCAGCATTGAATCTTCAGTTTCATATTTCACCAAATCAAATCAGGGATGGTGATCGGAATCAATTAATCGAATCACTGTCCCTGTTTTGGGCCAAATCCAAATTGAATAGGGCCTACTTCGCACATCCCTATTTTCTGGCATGAATTCTTTGTTTCTTTGTATTTTTATTTGTTATTCTGAAAAAATAATTTAAATGGAAAAAAATATATTCAATGAAAAACACTACAGAGAAAATATCCAATGGTTGATATACTGTCAGCCACTA